ATCATTCATTATTACAACAAAATATTATTTATTTCCGTTTGGAATTTAATTTATTATACTTGTAGTGTGCGCTACTTAGAGAATTCTTTCCAATATTTATACAAGAAGTAACTTAAATGCCTACCTATCATTCTTTAATTAAAAAAAAAAATTCAAGTCATACTAACCGCAGAAATATTTTTAAAATGCAATTTAGAGTTTTTGTATATAAAAAAATTTTTTTGTTTTTTGTGAATTTATAACTGAATTTTTTTTAGTAATTTTAACCTCTTCTGAATGTAACCTCTAAATTTAATATAACAACTAAAAAACGATTAAAAAATACAAGAAAATTTTAAAACAAAATTTATTTTCTATAGAAACGAAGGTAACCTTTTTCATGTTCGTATTAAAATTACGCCCAAGTTGATGGTAACCTTTTTTTTATTTCGAAAACCATGCAGTAGTTTCTTTTCGTTTTCAATAGTTCTATGTGGACCACTTTGAAAACAAATAACAAATTTAATTATAAAATTAATTCTGAATTTTAAAAAATACTATTTTGAAGAAATTACTTAATAAAAATTTGAAAAAAAAAAAATGGTAAGTACCCGAACTTGTTTTTTATCCAAGGTTGTATGGTAAGTACACGAACTTGCTGAGCAAGAATATACGATATAAAAATATTTATATCACAGACGACTAGAAGAATAGAAGCTGAAGTGAATAGAAGCTACATATCAAAATAAATATATTCAAAGATTTTAAATTTATCGTAAGCTCTTGAAAATATTCAAAATTTAAACGAAAGTACTTAAGATTTTTAAAATCATATGAATTAAAAATTTGTCCACCTTTAATTACATTCAAATCAAAGATGAGAAAATTTTTTTTTTTCTTTTTGTAAAAAAACTATAAAGTTCAAGATGGAAGCTGTTAAATAGTTTTTTTAAAATAATTTTTAGTTACTTAAGTACTCTAGGTATTCATGTATTAAAAAAAATAAGTAGAAATAAGTAAAAATTTGTAAAAAGGTCATTGTTCCTAATTGATATTCTTACGCATAATTTAATGAATCCCCACTGTAAGATTACTCTCAAATGGATTTTTTGAGAAAAATAATATTTGACTATCTGACCGCTTGTGTATTTTTTTTTTGTGTAATAATAGGTTAATTTAGTAATTTTCATAATATAATGAATAAAAACGTTAAGTATTATTTTACATTCATAACATTTGCAATAGTAGATTCGTAGATTCCAGGATAATCGAGAAGGACAAGAGATCATATTGTCCGGGCCACCGCAGTCATTCGCCATTTATTGTAGTCTTCCCACACACCCGCCTCTAATACCCCTGTTCTAAATATGAAGCTTTTTTTTTAAAGCCTTTTATAAATTTATGACATTTTGATGGATTTTTGAAAATAATTACATAAAACTACATCCTAACCTACTAATTTACTCTTTTAACTTACTACTTTAAAAAGAAATGTGCTGCTTTGAAAACCTCTTATACATATGTACATGTACCTTAAAAAAATGAATTTATTTTAAATTTATTTGCAACCTACTTTAAATATCTTAAATTTCCATAAGTAAATTTATTTTGCACAATATGCATTATACTATGTTAGTGTTATTTTTTAAAAGCATCATTAACTTCATTCATTAAACAATAATTATTTTATTAAAACAATAATAATAATTTTTAATATGACAATAAAATATTTGTTAGGTAGGTAGGTAACCAATCTACAACCTTAATTTTAAAAAACTAAATTATTTTAAAAGATTTTTTGCTAAATAAATTAAAAAAACAAAAAATGATGACATTGAGTAATATTAATAAAAGAGTAAAATAATTGTTTGAAGAAAATTGAATTGCATTTAAATTTAAAAAATATTAAAAAAATACAAATTAATCGACGGATATACGGACATTTCATTTGCAATTAATTTCTGACATTTCTTATAATTAATGGAAATTATGATTGAATATAAAATTGAATTTTATTGCCATAGTCTTTTATGATACTGTCGCATAAAAATTCATGACATTAATATTACTATTAACATAATTAATTGCATTGTAACTATAGAATTGTATAAAATTCTAGATCTTTAACCTTATTTTTTGTACATACGTAATTATTAACAAATTTCAAAATTTTTACTTGATTATGTGCATGTAGTTACCATTTCTTATATTTAAATTTAGTATTTGTCTCATTTTAGAAGATTAATTTCATGCATACAGGCATATGTACATAAGTAGACTTCAATAAGCATGGAGGAGGGGGAAAATCTGTTCGAGATTGAAGAAAATACATCATGTACAATTTTTATCTAAGTGCATTAAAAAAAAAATTACCAAAATTTTCACTTTGTGTAGATTTTCTCGAAAACAAATGGTTACTTACTCTATGTTAAACGAATCGATTCCAGAGTTATTAGCATTTACTTATTTATAGTTATTTTTAGGAAGGAAAAATCTGGGACCGATTTTTATCAACGTGCTGTACGATTTTTTGCTGGAAACTGATCAAATTATCACCTCTGAAATTACTTGCAATCTTATGCGAAATACCCTGTATGTGTAATTGAAAATAAAATGTCATACAAATTAAAATAAAATGTTATACAAATTTAAATAGAGTACCATTAATTGAGTCCGATTTTTTTTAAATAGCCATATTAGAAAATATCGAACATATGTAAATGCCACTAGCACTCGTTAATGTTCCTTTAAATTTTTCCTTTAAGAACCTTATTTCTTTATGTGGTAAGCATTAAAAATGAGGAATGTAAATGAATATAACGAGCTTTATCTCAAAAACTTATCTCTAAACTATCATCCATACAATTTTTTACCTGGAAATTGACCAAAGAATCATCACTGATATTATTTGCCAGCTTATGCGAAACATCCTGTATATAAAATATAATTATATTTTCGATTTTATTCATTAATTTTTCAATTTACAGCATTTATACAGCAAATTGTTTTTTAAAGCGAAAATCTATATAAAATAATCTATATAAAAACGAAAAATTTGAAGTGATCTTGACTATTCATTATACACATCCATACATATATATAGAGATACAATATATTCATATATGTATAATGATGGTTGTGTATACTGATTCATATATCTATATATATTTATGCACCTACATATATAGGTTTACTATTCATTATGTAAAATGCCATTTAATTATTATTAATTATTTCAAATTTCAAATATGTAGACATGATTGATTTATGTTAATTATACTGATCTAAATTAATATCTTTTACAGTTAACTTAATACGTTCGCGAACGCGAATGCTATAGCATTCATTTTCATAGTGATGCAAAATGACGTGAATCCTATAGCAATTTTAATTTCACTCTAGTTACTATCACCTATGTCACTCTAGTTACTATCTCTATCGTAGTAGGTGCTATAACATTCATTGTAATGGCTAAAATACAATGTTCTGACAATTCTTATAATACATGTCTAATTAACAAAAATAATTGCCTGTATATGTATTTTTGCACCTCCTTGAAACTTTTACCGTCCGCGAACGTGTTAAATTTAAATTTTAAATGTAATTAACAATTAATTTTAATTAGGTCACGTTACCTTAGTTGTAGATTTTGATATTCTCCGCTTAATATGTTCCAGCTATTCCTACATACTTTGTACATATAGAAATAAAAAAATTATTCGACAAACTTTATTTTCAACAATATATTTTTTAAATTTCAATTATTTTATAAACTTTTAAAAATTTTAAATGATAATAGCCTATTTTAAAAGTAAATTTTCAAGCGTTGTTTAAGCCTTCATTTGAAATGGAACCCACATTGTGGCTTACGCCACTCTGCTTCTGAGCTCCTAATATATAAAATACAAAGCAATTATTTTTGCCGTTCCCATATTTTTCTGTGTTAACAAAGGAAGATGTCGGCCATTTCCATTTACCGCTTTGGTTCGGTTTTTACAATTAATGTAAAATTTGGGGATTTTTGAAAATGCCATTTGCCGATTTGCTCTCTCAACCTAGAACTTAAGAAGCTTTAGCAGGAGAGAAAAAATACTGTAAGAATTTCAAAGTTACTATTTCTAGTAAGGAAAGTTTTTGAAGTTGTTGAAGTCATATCAGTGACTGTCTTTTAAAAACCGTTATGTCTTTTAAATCTAGTGACATCTGGCGGCTTTTCACCGTAAGACGATATAATAACAGATTTTATATTTGTTCATAATTACGCTTTTTATTGTTTTACATTGCTTTATATATTTAATAAATTTTTCGCAATTTTCTATTTTTTTTCTTTATTTATTTAAACAATTATGGGCTTTTTATGTACAATGAGCTCGGAAACTTGTCAAAATCTTTTGGACTGCTGAATGCGTTAGGCCATTATTATAATTGCATTGTTATTTCAATTTGACTCTATAATTGTACGTTTGTAAATTAACTTTTCAATAACGATAACGGAATTCCTTTTTTAATTTTAACCAAAAGAAACATCTTCCTTAACAATTATTCAATTAAAAAAATACGAATAATAAAATTTTAACTATATGTTATAATAACATATAATAATATTAGTGTAATTTACAACAGTAATTCAAAATAATATTACATATTATTAAACAAGAGTTATATATTGAAAAATTGATATTAAATAAGAGTTATATTATGGTGTCCTCTTTTCCAATTCTTAGTTCCTGCTACTAATTTTTTGTAAACAAAAAAACGTCAAAGTCTTTGTTGTTTGACAAAGTTGTGTCATTTGAATCCAAAAATTTTTTTGTTTTCTGAGTTGTAACTAACCGATACAAATATAACATACTATACAAAAGCAAATAGAAAGAAGAACAGAACATTCAACTGCAATTTTGTGTAAACAGACTCTGAAGAGTCAAACATTTTTTTAATGTCGTTGGGTTGTCATAAATTATTACACATCCCTGTTCGTTGTAATATTTACTATTCGTTTGACGTCTACTATAGTTTCGCTTTTTAGTGTACAAAACGTGAAAATAATTATAAATATGGTCAGAAAATTAAAATATCATGAACAAAAACTATTGAAAAAAGTTGATTTTTATTCATGGAAAGTTGATAATAGTGGGCATGAAAACAAAATTCTTAGAAAATACCATATAAGAAAGAGAGAAGATTATACAAAGTACTATCAATTAATTCTAACTTTTTGAAGTTTTACAAACTCTACATATTCTTTTCAGATACAATAAATTGGCTCGAAATATCCGTGATTTAGCGGAGAAAATTTCAAAATTAGAATCTAATGATCAATTTAAAGCTGAAGCTTCTGCAATATTACTTGATAAACTTTATAATATTGGATTAGTACCAACAAGATTTAATTTAGAGAATGCAGGTTCTGTTAGTGCAAGCAGTTTTTGCCGAAGAAGATTACCAATTGTAATGGTTAGACGTAAGTATTTTATATTACAACTTTTTCAAACTTTAAGAACAATAATAATTACAGAAAAACTTTCCCAAAACGCTGCTAGTGCAACAAATTTAATAGAACAAGGGCATGTACGAGTAGGCCCGGAAATGATTAAAGATCCAGCATTTTTAGTAACAAGAAATTTGGAAGATTTTATTACTTGGATTGATGGTTCCGCAATTAGAAAACACGTTTTAGAATACAATGATATGAAAGATGATTTTGAATTTTAAATAAATTTTATATATGTATGTAATATGTATATAATAATCCTTCTTTGTAATTAATTTTTTAGAATAAATAAATTTAAGTTTATCGATAATTAATTTTTACACATTTTGGTGTTCTATCTGGTGGTAGAAAAATATCAAATATTTCAAGATTAATATTACTGGTTACAAAAATGTAGATAAATATCTAGTTTCTTATCCAATACTCTAAATAATTTAAAAAATTGGTGGGTAGGCACTAGGCAAATTAGGTACATACATCGTTCGGAAATTACTGGCTGCAATAAAGTACGTTCGAAAATTCAATCTGCAATAAAGAACTGTTAGAAATGTAGCCTCATGAATTTTTTTTTTTTTAATTTAAAACTCAAAAGAAATTTTAAATTTCAAAATGTATTCAGATATTGAAGGGTTATTAAAGTAAGTTTTCTTTAAGTTTTGAGATTTGGTCTTGTTAAAATTCCCTTACTTTGCACCAATTTCATAAACAATGTTTATTATTTTAATTTCAGATTATTTAGAAGTTTCAGAATTTGTAGACTGCGTAAACGAAAAAAAAACTTAGCTAAAGTTTTTGCATAATTTTGAATGCTGCAACTTAGAAATTTTAGTTCTAATGTAGGACCTTCAGCGCAGCGTGCATAAATGAAAACCCTCACATTACCAATAATACGAATAACATCCTGTAAAATTTTGAATTTCAAAGTTTTATAATTTTTTGATTAATTCGTATGATCAAAATAGACAACTGGTAGTTCTAATTTGGTTTTCCACTTAAAATGAAAATATTAATTTCATAAATTTAAAAAGTGCATTTTCACATTTTCTTCAATATGTATATTTTATATAAATACTAAAACAAATACATATGTATTTAAAAAAAATATAATAGGGATGTTTTTAACTGCAGATAAATATAAATATAAACAATATTGCAAAATTTTAAATTGGTATAAAAAAAGTTTTTGTTAAAATAAAAATAACAATTAAATTTAGTTTTTTTTTGTTTTTGCGATAATTATACATATTGTGACATACCAATTCCAAAAGCTGTAAATCACGAGTTTTCTGTTGCTTAAATTAAAAATTAGAATTTCAATTTTGATACCCAAAAATCAACAAACAAAATATCCCTAATGATCTACTGAATTATACATAAAATACTATTTTCTACTACGCCTTGGTAAAATTATATGTATGTATAACAAAGATTCAGTATTACAAAATAAAAACGCAAAAATTATCTTAAAATTAATTATTACATCATAGGACACTGATTGTTCCCAGGAACACTCCCACTAGTAATAGCATCAAAATTTGGCAGACCACCCGCTCCACCAACTTCAGCAATTAATTCTTCTGGGGGTTGGCCATATTCTTGTAATTTGTGCATATTATCTAATATTTTTTTAAATCTATTTTGTTTTACTTCGGCGCTATCATCAGCCTTTTCCAATCTCAATTCTTCGGCTAACACTTTAAATAACTCTAATTGATTTTCATATCTTGTCTTGTCGTCCGGTTTAATTTTATCTCCGTTTTCTTCTAAATATTTCGGGTATTTTTGCAATATTTCTTCAATACTTGGCAATAAGATTTCTGCTGATAAGAGACTTTGCATCATACCTTGCATAAATGGTAGAAATGGATTATCATCAGTCACACTATCATTACCCAAACCTATATTTGAAAACATGCTTGTAATTTCTTCTTCGGAAACAGGAGCTTGCAAATTTTCAGCACCTTCTTTTAATCCTTTTAAAGCTTCTGATATACTATCCGCGTATCTTGTACCACTTTCGTTTACTGGTACATCTCCTTGTAAAGCTAAAGCTGCTGCTTCTGCAATGGAAACTTCATATTAGAAAAATTAACTTATTTTTTTTGTAATAGTTTTACCTGCCAGTTTTTGAAACCCATAATTAATATGCTCATTTGACATATCTGATTCACCTGCGGCGTTGAAAATTGAATTCATTTTTTCACTCAATAAATTCGCTTGTTGAATGAAAAAATCTTCATCTAAAAGCTCCTGTGTAGTTCCACCAGCTTCATTAGACTTTTCTCCTGCAGTACCATCTTGTTTTCCACTATCACCTTCATATTTTTGAAAATCTTCTAAGGCACTGTCAAGTAAATCATCTAAACCATCATCTTCGCTTTTTATAGATTTTTTATTATCTGACATTATAACGTAAAAAATTTGTCAATTTTTTATTTTTAATTTTTTAGTTGGCTGAAACTTTATACTTTTAAGTTCTAATTACAATTGGATTACGAAACAAAGTCCAAAGTGAGGTTATCGAAGTTTGTATGTGTATGCATTTATTCTATTAACTGACATTTTATTTGACTGTCACCCAGTTTGCGTTTACAGGTTTAATCCTTTTGGCTTTCTATTTTATCAAATGAAGCAAATATTGGAAAAGTAAAAACTATTTTTTTTTTGTATCAAAAGTTTTCTATTTTGAACATTAAACTCATTGCGCATAAACAAAATAAAATTTAGTAGAAATTTTACACTTAAAGAGAAAAAAAAATTTAGGTGATAGTTTTTTTTTTTTTGGGAAATCGCTGTAAAATTAGTAATTTCACATATGTGAAATATGAACAATGTTTTAAATGCCAGACTCGAATTTTTTTTAATAAAATTATTAAAAAATTACTACTTTTCAGTAAATCACCAAATATTCGTGAAAACACATGATAGATGGCGCTTGAAAATGTAATGAAATGACAAACTGTTCAATGCTTTTTAACTTATACCTTTGTTATTGGTTTTTAGTAAAGATATAGTTTATTATTTTTGAAAATGATTAGAAATGAAAAAACAAAAAAATATTTTTAACGATATTCAATAAAACTTTTGTGATTTTTTCATTATCATAAAATGTGAGATTTGTATTGTTTAAAACAAAAAGTACCAGCCATCTATGATGGATTTGATCCAACATTTTGATCAAATTTATTTACTTGGATGTGTTTTGATTTGTATTTCTATAATTTTGAAAGTTGAATGTTAAGTGAAAATAAAACCAAATTTTTTTTGATTTATGAACCCCAAATCCAACCAAATTGATTTGTTGTTGAAGAATTTTATTAGCAGTAACGTACACTGTTTTAACGCCGCAAATAATATGAGTACTTAACGTTAGATGTCGTTCTTGTAGAGTTGGTAGCGCTGAATTTTGACATTACCACTTGGCGCTGTACTGACAATTCTCTGGTTAGTGTGCTTTTTTTTGTCGTAATAAAAATGTTAATTTTTAATTGAAAATATAAAATCGTAGCTGTATATATTTAGAAAAAAGTAAATTTAGTTACTTATTTATTTTAATAGAATTAATTTGATCTATTCCAGATCAAGGCTGAAATCAGGATTGGAGAATAAAAAGGTATCAAAATCACACAAAGGTGAAAAAAATTTGAAAGGCTAGAAAACTTGACAAGGACAGTTGCGGTTCATTAAAAAAAATTAAATTTTATATTTAACATAAATTTGCCATCCAAAATTTAGTGTTTAGATTGTTTTTTCGTAGATACATTTGTATTTAGAGATCTAAAATACAATTGAAACAGTTTTTGTGAAAATTGATTTATTCTCGAACTTACTGCTCTGACAACCGTTTGACGTTTGTTAAAAGAAAAAAAAGTGAAAAATTAATCGAAAATTTAATAATGGCGTCAGATCCAACAAAAAATAGTCGACTTCAAATATTTAAAAATAAAGGAAAAGATCAAGATGAAATGCGACGTAGAAGAAATGAAGTTACCGTGGAATTGCGAAAAAATAAACGTGAAGAAACTATATTAAAACGCAGAAATGTTCCAAATATGGAATCCACCACAGACGAAGATGATTTTCTATCAAGCATTAACCTCAAGAAATTGGTAGAAAGTGCAGCAGATTCCAGTAGTCCAGAAAAGCAATTAGCTGCAGTTCAAGCTGCTCGGAAATTGCTTTCATCAGATCGAAATCCACCAATTAACGATTTGATAAATAGTGATATATTGCCGATTTTAGTCGAATGCTTAGAAAGAGACGATCACACGCAATTACAGTTCGAGGCAGCCTGGGCTTTGACGAACATTGCTTCAGGTACATCTGAGCAAACTAATCAAGTGGTAAGAGCAGGAGCTGTCCCCTTATTTTTGCGATTGCTCAGCTCACCAGCGCAAACAGTATGCGAACAAGCAGTTTGGGCTTTGGGCAATATTATTGGTGATGGTCCACTGTTAAGAGATTTCGTTATAAAGCATGGTGTAGTCCCACCATTACTTTCATTTATCAAACCAGACATACCGATATCATTTTTACGTAATGTAACATGGGTAATCGTTAATTTATGCCGTAATAAAGAACCTCCACCACCAGCAGAAACAATCCAAGAAATATTACCAGCTCTTAATGTATTGATACATCACACAGATACAAATATATTAGTTGATACGGTATGGGCCATTAGTTATCTAACAGACGGAGGAAATGATCAAATACAAATGGTAATTGATAGCGGTGTTGTACCAAAATTAATACCATTATTAGGTCACACAGAAGTTAAAGTCCAAACAGCAGCTTTACGTGCTGTTGGTAATATTGTAACAGGATCCGATGAACAAACCCAGGTCGTATTGAATTTTGATGCATTAGCTTATTTCCCGGCGTTATTATCACATCCCAAAGAAAAAATACGCAAAGAAGCTGTCTGGTTTTTATCAAATATAACAGCTGGCAATCAGTTTCAAGTACAAGCTGTTATAAATGCTGGTTTATTACCTAAAATAATTGAAAATTTGAGTAAAGGTGAATTCCAAACACAGAAAGAAGCTGCATGGGCAATTAGTAATTTAACAATTAGTGGTAATCGTGAACAAGTCGCCGAATTAATAAAAAATGGCGCTGTACCACCATTCTGTGATTTGCTGTGTTGTAAAGATACCCAGGTAATTATAACAAACAAATACATAAATGCTAGCACTTAGTAAATCCAAAATTAAAAATAGGCACATATTGTTTGTGTGTGAAGTAGGTGTACCTATGCACATATATACATACATATAACATATGTATGTACACATATGACTCATTGCAATAATGATTAATGTTTAAATTTCACATTCACTTTTAATTTTTCCAGGAATCTTTTTTAAAATATTGAAATGAAATAGTTACAATTAAATATCTATAAAATTTAAATAAAAATATTAAGTTAAACTAGAATTGCTTGTTGCAACTTCCTTAAACTTTGTTTAAACGCAACGTTTTTTTCGCTATTAATTCAACACGCAATTAAAAAATTTTTTTTTGTTTTTGATTTTTTCTCATTTTTTTTTTGTGTTTTCATTGTTTTTTTTGTTTATTTTTTTTTTTTTCAGGTTATAAACGTTGTTCTTGATGGTATAAATAATATGTTGAAAATGGCTGGCGATCATGTTGAACATATTGCCGGTATCATTGAGGAATGTGAGGGTTTGGCTAAAATTGAAAAATTACAAAATCATGAAAATGTCGAAATATATAAAATAGCATATGAAATTATTGAACATTACTTTGCCGAGGAGATTGATGATACCGCTATAGCACCAGATGCGGATGAAAGTGGATTCCAATTTAACCCAAATATTAATATGCCTAACGAAGGGTTTAAATTTTAAATAAACTGATATATAATAATTATAAAATAAAAATTTAATAATTATTTAAAAAAAAAAAAAAATAATAAATAATATATATTTAATGCAAAAAAATGAAGAAACTAATTATACAGTACCATGTATAAAAAAAAAAAAAATTAAGACAAAAGGATTAAATATATAAAAAAAAAATTCTTTTTAACTGACAAAAACACAAAATAAAGGATAAAAACAATGATGAAAAATTTAAATGAAAGAATTCAAAATAAAAATCTAGAATTTATTAAAATAAAAATAAAGTAACATTGCAGTTATTTTAAATAAATATTACACGTATATTTTTTTTATTTTTATTTTTTTTTTTTTAGTTTTTAACCGTAAAAATAAAAGCAGAAATTTGAAATATAATAATAATTTCAATACATAGAGAATTTCAAATAAGAAATTTAAAATAAAAATTTAATATAAGGATAGCTTGATTTCTTTATATACATACATTTATTATTATGTTTACTTTTAATTCATCAATATAAAAGAAAAAACTTAAAGTATATATATACACACACATATATATATATATATATAAATATATATATATAAATATATATATATATATATATATATATATATATTTATATATATATATATATATATATATATATATATATATAAAATTCGAAAAACTGATATTGTAATTTTTTAGTTTCCAAAAATATATAATACGCATATTTTTTTTTTAAATCATGAATATTTAAAAAAAAAAAATAAATGATTGTTGTCAATATTTCTGCGAATAAAGATCAAAATTAGAGTGAAAATTTACAAGATTATTCGTTTAATTTTTTTATTTATTCTACCATTACTAAACTTTGAGTTAAAATTTTATTTTTTAATTTCAAATTTAATTTACAAAAATTTTATAACTTGTTTGGTTTACGCCAAATTTATGAATTAAATACATAGATGGATCCATTGTCCTATATAAAAATAAAGTAATTTTTTCTAAAATTGTTAATAAGCTATCGCTGAATAATAGTTTCTTTGATATTGCAAATTTTGATGTAAGTCCATTTACGTTTTTTAGTTTAATTTCTGAAATCTTTTAAGATAATTTTTGATTAAAAGCAAATTATTAAATTAAAAAAAAATTATTCAATACAAAATGTTTTACGCTCAATAAAATCATAATAAATTTTTTAATATATGTAGTTCAATTTTACAAGTGTTTATTGCGTAAAAAAAAAAAATTAAAAGAATCGAAAAATTAATCTTGAAACTTATATTTTAAATTTTGTTTTTTTTTTTTTTTTTAATGAATTACCTACCAATTTTACAACTCATTGTTAGTTAAAGCTTTTAAATTCTGAAAAATTATGGCAAAGCAATAATAATTTGAAGGTATAAGTTATGAATATGTAATTAATTTTTATTTTATTACATGATATTGAAAGTTGTAACAAGATTGGAAAATGTAATATTTTAAATAAAAAGAAAATATAAAAAATTTATTTAATATTGACAATGAAATTGAAAATAAAAGTATATATAATTACAAAAAAAAAAACTCGGAAAAATTTCACATCTTTTTAATTTATTGCAGTATAAAAATTGATATTTTGAAAATTAAAAATTGATTTTTAATTAAATTAAAAGCTGTTGTGAGTTCTTCCAAATGCAAATGTAATTTCATTATAACATGTAGATATCAATTTCAAAGCTGTTTTTTTTTTCATTTCTTTTATAATTCGCAAATCGAATAGCTAAATTGTAAATTGTGGACCAGGGGGATAACGAACCGCAATCCTCATGGATCTATTGGATATTGGATATTGGAACTCTGATGAATTAAAACAACTTGCGGGGATCGAAGGGTCGGATCTCCGCTTTAGAGACTGTATAAATGCCAAGCGTTTCCCTACTCATGCGAGTCAAAGCTAGAAACTCCCTCAGAAAGTGTACCGAAATCTCCCCCACTTCCCTGCAGTGGCAATCGTCCATCATGCTCAACTTCCTGGGCTATACTCTGAATCCGCCGTGGTCAGATAAAATCGAAGAACTAAATGTTCTTTTGAAGAGGCGGAAACAATTATGAAAGTGGATTAAATGACATTATGTTCCACGAAATCTTGAAAAAATTGAAAACGTTTTAAAAAGTGCTTTTAACCTTTTCACTATTTTAACGAAAATTTAACCTATAAGTTAAGAAATTAAAATAAAAAAGAAAACTAGGGTGTTCTACTTACAAATGATTAAAAAATATTTATTTAAAATTTTTTACAATGTTCTTAAAAAATTTTCGTACTCTTCCATACTACTATTACATATGTTTTTAACAAAATATTCATCTGTTCCTTCTACTAATTGTTTTGGTGATATAAATTGACCTTCATTCATGTCGTATTGTGCTTTACCCAAATATTTCAAAAATTTATGCCTTTCTTTTATTCTAAAAAGTCTAGATGTCAAAATATGTGGATATAATAAAATTAGTTCATGAGATAATTTCATATTATTATGAGCATAGTCGAATCTTTCTACAATTTCTTCACGATCTACAAAAAAAAAAATTAAAAATATGAATCAATTTAAAATTAATTTTGTATATATTTTTGTAAAATCTCTCACTCATCATCCATAGCTTTGGTTTACTAAGTAATAAACATTTAACTTCTTCACCCTCAAATCCCATTTCTTCTTTAATTGAAAATGTATTTTCACGTATGTGGTCCATTTTGTACGTTATCAATCTTGGCAATTTTGTCGCTAAATGCCTGACATCATGTCCTGTTAATTTAAAATTTTGTTGGAAATATCCTAAACGTTTATCTATTCTTTTGGTAGAAAACATAAGCCAATAGGGATTTAGTGTGCAAATTCTCTGTATTTGTGAAGTTTTGAATTTTTTCACTTCTAGATAATTAATACGTGTTTGCAAATCGTCTAAGCTTTCTTTAAATATTAAAGGATTCTTTGTCAAAAATTCTCCAAAACTATTGGCTGGTACTCCAACATCATTAAGAAAAGTTAAATGTGATTTAATATCTTTCTCGAAGTCTAATTGCAATACAAATTGACCTATACCTTTTCGTTTTTCAATTTTACTGAAATCTACTCCCAATTTATGAAGTTGCTGAAGTGTTTCTGATTTATTTAAATAAGCGGCTAAGTTGAATGTTCCCAAATAATTCGGCTCGGATATATGTTGGGCTAAATCTAATGATTGTTTATCAGTTTTTGATAGAGACGTTTCATCTAAGAATTCAGTATATTCGCTTGGTATATTTGTATTCAATTTTTTTTCTGCGATATCTTTGGACGGTTCCAAAAGAGTATCTTTATCGTTTAATACTGCTTTAGTCGAATTTTCGGTTTGAATGTGTTTAATTTGTCGAAATTCACAATATTTTAAGTAATCTTTAATAAATAATCTAAATTTAATGAACTTCAAACTATTCGATACGAACATTTTAATGAATAATCAGTAATATTAAATTTTGTTTTTTCTAGATTCCAATATAAACATAAGCCATGTACATATTTCTAATATAACCAAATTAAATGTCAAAAAACAAACATATTCACAAATGCATACTTCGGCTTATTAATATAAATGTATGTTGTGTACATATAGGTATAAACATGGACTTTACGAGCATGTTTGTTTACAAGATCAAAAATTCATTGAAAGGCATATTAAATTATAATGTAAAATTATAATCTCGATAAAAGTAAGCATTACACAAGCAACCAATACTTCAATTATTTTATTTCATCTACTCCTACCTAGTCTATTTGGTCGTAAATAGCACCATCTATTTGTTCTGTTAATGCGAAATACAAATACATATTTTCATTATGTAAATCAAAAGCACGTTATCGGAATGATATGCTTTTTTTTAATTCAGAATTCTTTTAAGAGTATAACATCAATGAATGGTGTATGAAGTTTGTTTATTCTTCTTTAAAAATAAAAATTTTATTAATAATTTAGTTACAAATTTGTTTGTTACAGCTATCAAAATATCTTTTTTAACGATTGTGATTTAGTTTACATCATAGTGCAGATGTTTGAAATTAATTTTAGTTCATTTTTTCACTACATTGTGATTCTGTAAAGATTTGCTGACATTTAAGAATAAAATTAAAAGTATTATTTTTTTGGTTTATGCTTTGTTTTACGATCTTCTAAAAATAATTTAGTAAAATTATATAATTATTTAGTAAAATCAAATAACTAATTTTATAATTTTCTTGCCAGTTGAGCAGAAAATAAAGTATTTCAATAAGTGAGTAAAACGCATTTTGTATGTATTGCAACTTTCATTCAAATAACATGCCAATGTAAGCGTTTGGTAATATCATATAATAGAATATCGTAAAATCGTGGACAATAAAAAAATAATTAGAAGTGTAAACACAAACCAATATACAGGGTGTATTCCACTCATGTTAAAGTTGTCGAATACGAACTTTAAGGGGTAATTTTGGAGGTTCAAGGAAAATGAGATTTAAACAATTCGATATGTCGAACAGCTTTGAAATTGATAAAGCTGCAACTATGTGTCAAATTGTAGATGATGAACGCAAAGGAAATAATGAATTTTTTTTATATGATAATTTTTTCTGAAAAAAAGTAGCATTATATAATTGGCGAATCGAAATTTTCTGATCACTGTAATATATGTATTTCTATAATTATTTTTCATTTTGTAATTATAGTCTGATTAAAGTAAAAAAAAATGTTTTTACAATCGTAATTTTACAAAAACAAAAACAACAATAAAAAATACGTAAAAACACTTGTAGCATGTTAAATGCTGCATAATAGATTTACATTTACATACATATATGTATACATACATACATATGTATAAAAATATTTAAAAGTAGCTAAAACAAAACTGAATTTTTAATATAGATATTTTTTTAATTTAGTTTAAATGCATTTTTTTACTAATTTAATTGCATTAATTAGTTGAAATTTACATTTTCACGATAGAAACACGTTTCGTCCATCCAATAAGCTATAATACCGCTATACCTTTGCAAAATATTCGCTTAACTTATTGTTATCAATTATTCATTCCTTTCAGAAATCTAAAATACCTACTTAACTCAAAAAAAAAGTTTATAGTTCTTCATCATACAAAAATAAAATTTTGTGTGCAGGTGCCTACATACTTTAATTATTAAGATAATAAAAATTAAGAAAAATTAGTAAGGTGATGTGACATGTCATTACTTCAAGGATTCGAAATTCTTTGATTTGGTTTTAAACTCATATGTAATCAAAAATCAAACTGATTTTGAGCGGCGAAACGAAAGATATTGACTAGAAGTTGGATGATTATTGACCAACTGTTATAATGATTTGCAGTTATAATGAAAATTTTTAAAATAACAATATTACTATAAGTGTTAATATTTCACTTCTTCCCAGATCACGTTCATGTATGTATGCATTTATTATTCATGAGCCATGGACAGAGATGTATATTTTTAGAAAAAGTTTTATTTTCAGGCAAATATTTTTACATTATATTGTATGTATTTCGTTTTCTTTTTATAAGTAACAAATAGTTTTTTGTTTAAAAACAAATTTCGATATCCATTTTATTTTTAAAAAAAATAAATTTTTCTTATAACTAAAAGATTTATATTTTCATATTTTATTAATATGATAGCTTAACTTGACATCAAAGATTTAGTGGTTAACGTGAACTTGTTAAAATTATTCATCATCTTCATCTTTTTCAGTTTTTATTTTTTTGCTTTCTTTGTCTTTATTTTTCTTTTTTTTCTTTTTTTTTTCTGATTTCACTATTCCTGAAGTCTCCGCCCCGTCATCTTCAGGTTCATCTTTAATTTTAGGTTTTTCTTCTGCCTCTTCTTCATCATCTGGATCTACTTCTGAGTGCTTTCGTTTTTTTGCTTTGGTCACTGAAAGAGTACTATCAGCTTCAGGCTGATAAGTGAAAACTTCCGATTTGAAATGGAATTTTTCAAGTTTGGCTTTAGCTTTTCCAGTTCCAGATAATCTTCTAAGATTACCTTCTTCGAGTAACCTTAATCTGTTTTCTAACTTTACTTTATGTTCTGCACCTAATTCGAAGGTCAAATCTTCCCCGAAAGCATCAACTCTCGTTGCAAGAGCCACTTTAGCAGCCAATGATCTCGCCATTTTACCTTTATTTTTTGTACTAGCTTGACCAACAAGTGCGGCATGAAATAAAAGACCGTATTTTGGTGTGTCTTTTTTCTTCTTTAAAGCAACAAACAATGCTTTTTCAGCACCTAAAATTTGTATTGTAGATGAAGGATGTTTCGCCAAATTGATTAAAGATCCTGCATGAGCAATGAGTCTAGCTCCAACAGTTTCACCAACTAATACGTTCAAATTTGGGGCCATAGCCATCATACGGGTTTTAAGATAATCATAAAGATGACTTCTATAATCATTAATTGACAAAATTTCATCGCAAAGAGCTTGGATGCTAATAATATCCTCTTCAGAGATGTCTGTACCCATAGATATTTCGGCAGCTTCTTTAACTTTTGTTTCAACGTCTTCTGGTAAAATATCTGACAAATCTGTATTAATCATATTATCTCTTGTACCCACTAATTTAATGGTTTTAACAAATGCAATATTATCCACAATAAGTTTACCCAATTCAGGAAAATGCCACCCATACCACTCTCTTACTCGCATAAAATAATTATTCAATTCTTTATCTAAATCATCTAGTAAACACTGAGCTTGAACTATCATTGTATCAATTTTATCAGGTGAAAATTTCAGCTTATACCTTGATAAAGAGTGAGCCAAACCAAGAGCCATTGCAGTCATTTCCTTTTTAGGAAGACCACAAAGCAAACTTTCAGATTGCGTTCTGATGCAACGCATTAATTCTTGAACATTTGTGTTATAAATACATTTTATATCAAATTTTTCTTTGATGGCATTCCCTAATTTAGCGTCAGCTACTAAGAGTTGCTGTTGTACATCATCGCTAACTAGTTTTTTTAAAGTTTTCTTCAATGGTTTTGAAATTTTTCCTTCTACAGCTGCTGTTGCTGCTGCTAATGCTTCGGTTGTATCGTTAAATTTCTCGAAACTTTTTAACTTGATTAATTTACTAGCTTTTTCTGGGGTTTGAAAATCTAAATATAAGTTGTCTACCTCAACAATTTTTTTTTCGTCTAATAGTTTGAAAATAGCATAGCCTGCTGGTGTTTCATACAGGACAAACATTGTGATTCAATTCACAAAACTCTTCTTGATTCAATTATATGTATTTATATTATAAAATTGTATCGGACTTTTAAAATTAAAATAGCACGTGTTTTAAAAACATTTCCAAACAAGGTGACAGCAAAGATTACGTTTCTGAATTTTATTGTTTTGATATTTAAGTTTGACAAGTGCTTACATCGTTGGTCCAAAGCAGTTAAATAATTCTGAAAGTAATTACAAAATAATAACACGACTTATGGGAAAAAAAGGAACTTCTCACATATTAGAGAGCTTCTTTGCGAAGTAAATGGTTTTTTTAGTCGAATTAAATTTAATTAATAAAAAACTACAGACAAATAAACAACAATAATTAACATCGAATTTTACAATTTCAGATATGATAAACAGATACGAAATAATCGTAGATATTGTTAGCAAATATATTAGGAAAAACTAATAAACATAAAAAAATAAAGGAAAAACTGATGCGAAAAAAATATTTGTCAAATTAATACTCTTAAACTTCGGAAATTTAAAAAAAAGTTTAACTTTTCAAAATTTTACTAAAAAATTTAAAATTCAGATTTTTTTAGTAAAGCTTAATGTCTTGGATACTTTGCAGTTCTAGCATAAAGTTATCTGCACAAACTTAGAATCTATTTTTACTAATTAAAAAAAAATAGTCCATTTAATAAACAATAAATGTATGTAGTTGTTTTTAAATATTTTGTTAACTAAAATTATTTGCGCATGTTGGAGATATGCTTAATGCTTGATCTAAGCAATGGATGTTTGATATAAAATAAATTAAACGAACATATTCTGTTAAAGTTGAGCTTTTATCTAATTTTATTTTTGATTTCAACACCTCTAAATGGAATTCGTTATTGTTAAGACATGTAGAAAAAACATACCGTCACATACTATTTAACTACAATAAATGAAAAGTAGTTTATTATAAGTGCAGTAAAATTTGCATTTTTCACTCATAATTTTATTTTTTTCCGATGTAACATATGTTTTTATGTTGCATATAAAAATAAGTATAAAACCAATTATTGTGCATAATGCGTAACCCAATAGGTTGATTTTTATTACATCGGTTTTGTTATTTAAATATTAGAAGCGATGAGAATCCAAATTCATTTAGTGAATCTACTACATGTGAATCAGTGATACTATATAATAAGTCACAACACGTCATATCAGTCACATGATATTCATAAGTTGATCACCAAATCGGGAAACATTTTAGCTAAACGTCAAGTCTCATCAAGCACGAAGTATCTTACCTTATCAGAAATGTCAAAAATAAAAAGTCTTACTAAAAGTAATTCAACGTGTGATGAGGTTTAGTGTATAATTTTAAGGAGCGCTAATTTAATTCTCTTTTAATATAAATTTATGTAATAACTAAGATTCTTAATGAATCAAATGATTTCAAGTGAAATTGAAGAAATAATTTTAAAATCAAAAAGAAGCTAATAATTGCAAGTGAAAGCAGAAAATAATTTTTTTTTTTATAAATCCTTAGTGGCTCTGTATGAGAGCTGAATTAAAATTAAAAACCAAATATAAAGTAATTATATAAAAATGAAGAAACGTTCAAATCCGTATTCTAGAACTCCAGAAGATGAATCTTCTTCAATGTCACAAACCACAGATAATTGGATGATTGTAAATGAACGTCCAGTAGATGATATTTCACTGGATTTTTTTTATAAGCCGCATACAATTACTTTATTTGCCGTCTCAATAGTTGGCGTGATGTATTTTGCATGGATTAGGTGAATATGACATTAATTCATTTACTTTTTTGTTTTGGTTTAGAAATTGATTAATAACAAATAATTTGGTTAGTTTTCACGTTTGTATATGTATGTATGTAGGTAAGAAAACTTAGATGTATCAAAACAAAATCAGTATTTGGATAAATAGGTATATGAAAAAAGTAAAACACCATAGTATCTATCCAATATTTTGATTCAAAAAGGAAAGCTTGCGCATTTCGCACCACAAATTTTTTTTGTCTAAAATAATAACAAAAGTAGTCTAAGGCCAAATTATTCTTACATATTATTCCTTAATTTATGTATACCTAAGTATATGTATATAAAATCGTATAAAAATACTACATCTGTATAAATATAATATACATACATACATACATTATATATACATATTAAGTTATGCAAAATAATATTTTTATCAACTTCTTGTTAGAATGAAAAGTAATAATTTCGTGAAAATTTGCAATTAAAACTGAAAAATATAGGTAGAAGAAGAAATTATGGAAATTTTTTCAATATATAAGCGAACTTATTGTTTTTCTAAAAATTTAATGAAATAAAAGTACATATTTATATATTTAAGTAGGTACTAACATAGGTATATTAAATGTGCCAATTTGAAAATTTTCTTTGTAATTTCAAAATTGTAACAATTGCCTATATTAAGGATCTTTAAATACTTGAATAGTTTCTAAAGTGGTAAAAAAAAAATTATTCTTGACCTATATATTAAAGAAAGGCATTACAAATGGAAATAGCAGATGAGTAAGTTTAATTAAAAAAAAAAATTGTTCTTAAAATAGAGTGGACTTGTTGAAATTTAACATTACTAAACAGTGTTTGTTATATTCGTTAATAACTATGCAAATAAAATTTGAAAAATAAAATTCCTACATAAGTAGCATTAATTCTAACGTAAATTTTGGCACTTTTACAATTATTATATATGTATATATACATATATGTGAATATTGTATAGTCTTTCATACTAGTTAGAAAATTATTTATTAAATTTAAAATTAGCATACTTTATATTTTAAGAAGTATCTATTATAATGTTATATTTCTTTATACAACTTGTATGCAATATAGAATCTTTACATATATTAACATAAATTCTATAAGTAAAAAAAAAAGTGCCTGTTATATTCATAAATTATACATACTTTTCTATCTGTTTATAGTCTCTACAAAATCTTAACAAATATGTATATGTATATAATATACATATCATATTTATTTTCAAAGTATATAATAATTTGTGTAACATTATATGATTGATCTTTACATAATCTTAAAGCTAATAAAATAATTGATATAAATTATTTATATAATATTATAAATAATCTGTATGAGTAATAGCTCAATGAACTGCAAACAATTTCAATAAACAAATGTTATTTTGATAACATTATATACAGTATTGAATATATTCGTTTTGTTATTAAAATAATTTTACGTGATTAACAAGCAAATCATTAGCAAAATTAAATATAACAAAAAAAAAAGGTCAATTAATTAAAATGGTTGGTCAAAACCTCTGTTTGAAAAAAAAAATCTTGGAATTTAAATTATTCTTATATATAAATATTCATTTAAAATATTTTCATTTTCATAGGCATAGTATTTTATATAAAAAATTAAAAGTTTTTTACTTACACAAAAGTGGAAAAACAAAAAATATTGCCAATTTTTTAAAATTTAGTAGGTACCATGCTAATCTGTCTCTATAAAATCTTACTTTATGGTAATTCATAGGGTTTTAAAAATTATATATATACAAATATTTATTATGTTATTTTTGTATATACATATATATTTTTATCTTTTAGAACTAATAACAATCAATATTTGCTTTTTTGTTACAGAGATGAAGCAAACATTCAAGAAAATATTTGGGCTGGTATAGTTTCAGTAGTATTCTTTTTTTTAATTATATCAGTATTAGCTTTTCCAAATGGCCCGTTTACGAGGCCGCATCCTGCCGTCTGGAGAATTTTATTTGGATGTTCAGTTTTATACCTTTTAACGTTGCAGTTTCTAATGTTTCAAAATTATAAAACAATTATGAGTATATTATATTGGTTTGATCCGAAATTAGAAGATTTTCATATCAATATGGATAAAGTAAATTTAAAAGAATAGCAATTATTTATTTAATTTTAATTAATTTTTTTCATTAATAATTTTTTTTTTTTGTAATTCAAGGAATATGGAGTTAATTGCTCCGATATAACATTAGAAAGAATTTGGTCGCATCTTGACGTTTTTGCATGGGGCCACTTTTTAGGTTGGGCTTTTAAGGCTGTACTTATTCGACATATGGGTATTTTATGGGCTATTTCAATAATGTGGGAGATAACAGAAATTGCTTTTGCTCATTTATTACCAAATTTTTTGGAGTGTTGGTGGGATGCTATGATATTAGATGTATTAGTGTGTAATGGTTTGGGAATTTGGGTAGGTTTAAAAATATGTAAAATATTAGAAATGCGTGAATATAAATGGGCTAGTATACGTGATATATCATCGACTAGCGGTAAAATAAAAAGAGCTGTGATGCAATTTACTCCAGAAAGTTGGACACATGTTCGATGGTTAGATCCTAAATCAACTTATATGCGTTTTGCAGCTGTATGCCAATTAGTAATATTTTGGCAAGTAAGTAGAAATTCAATTAACAAATATGAATATCACACACGCATCTTTTTTACAATTTTAGGTAACAGAATTGAATACTTTTTTTTTGAAACATATTTTCGAAATGCCGCCTGATCATTTTATTGTAATGATAAGACTTTTATTTATTGGGCTTTTCGTCGCCCCATCGGTTAGGTTAGTTTTAATTCAAATAAATATACAATACGAACTAATTAATTAAATTTCTTATGATTTATTTTAGGCAATATTATATTTATGTCACAGATACCCGTTGTAAACGTGTTGGAACACAGTGTTGGGTATATGGTGCTATAATGGTATCTGAGGCAATACTTTGCATAAAAAATGGCAAAGAACTTTTTGAAAGAACGCAAGCGGTTAATATAACTGTCTGGTTATTAATACAAGTAGCATTATCAATAATTTTTGTCTATGGATGCGTTTTATGGCATAAATATATTCAAGTAAGTTTAAAGTTTCTTATGAAAAAATTTTTAAGTGTCAGTTGGGAAATTTCTTTTCTTTTTCCTTAGAAATCACCAAATAGCAATAATAAAAATTCGCCAGATAAAAGTTTAGATGATTTAGATGTAAACAGTTTAAATAATGACGATTCCAAAGGTAAGATGTATTTCTGTTAATAAAAGCACATCTTTCCCTGTTTTTTTTTTTTGAAGTGTTATTTATGCACTATTGTTATTTAAAGTTATTTGAAAGTTGTTTTACAAGAAATTTGAATTTCATAAAGTTAAAACAAGTAAATTTATTTTTAATACTTTTGTAAAACTTTCAAATGACTTAAAAATATAAAAAAATGTTTTTAATTCACACGTATTTTTATATTTCATTTTACTTTGTTAATGGGTTTTTTTGATGTCACTTTCTGTAAAATTCTTCATTGTATGTACGCTTCTTAAACTTTTAAATTGAAGACTCAGTGTATTATCTACAACCAAATATAAACGAATTTGCATATGGAAAATTGAATCAAGATGAATCACCTGAAAGCTCTTTATACGATTTTAAAATAAAAATTATTTAAAATTAGCACTGTTGCCTTTAATATAAATGAATAATTAATTTTTATGGAAAAAAAATAATTGATAAAAGTTTTTGCAAAAGGACAATAACATGTTGTTGGATAGATGCGCGTCAATTAATATTAATTACTTTTTTTTTTTGATTTTATTAAATTTAATTTTTCAAATTTCAATTTTCCGTTTGCATGTTTGTATCAAAAATTATAATTTTATTGTTCTTTTTTTGTTGTTATTGTAAAGAACATACATGTAACTTGTACTATATTTATCGGATCACAAACACATTTTATGTATGTTTGCTTGAGTAATTCTTACTAAAAATTTTCAATTACATAACAAATTTTCTTATTAAATATAATTTTCATATTAGTTTTTACTTTTGCAATCATAATTTGTACTTCATAATTTATTTTCATTTTAATTTTTTTTTCTAATTTTTTTAATTTTATGTTTGAAATAGGAAACACCCCACAACCATCACCAAAGAAGTCATCGGTTAAAGGAAAAGAACATGTAAAAGATGAATAGATAAAAAAAAAGTAATATCGCAAGTATTGGAAAAAAAAAAAAAACATTTTTAAATTTTTAATTGTTAAAATAAGGATTAAAAATTCGAAGAACTATTTCAGTCCAAATTTCACATTTATTTGAAAAATATTATTTTTTTTTACTTTGCCCAGTAAATATTATTATTATATTCGTGTGTATGTAAATTTACGGTTGAATGCCATCCGCAAGCTGAATTTAAAATTATATATATATTCAACTTTTTTTAATAATATAATTCGTTTTCTTTCTTAGATAAATGTAAGTTGTAGCTAAATGATGAAAAATTTAAATTATGACACAAATTAAATAATTTAGTTTAAAAATTTTTACAATTTATGCTAGAATTTTTTTTTTAATTTCATTATTTTCCTAATCAAATTGCATTGTATGCAATTCAAACTCTGTATTTTTAGACTTCAAATTCAATGAGTTCATATTAATATTACCAATTCTTCGAAATAGTCTTCCCAAAGTTTAAATTGAATCTCTAAAGTCAACATTAATTAAACTTATATAAAAGTCTTTAGAAAACGCGATACAAATTAAATTAATTTTGCTGTAATAAATTTGTAAAAACATGTGTTATACTTTTTAATGTAATTTAATTGTTTTGATCACGAATTTTATAATTATTTTTACAGGCCGAAGTATATATTAAATGCACGATAATTTTATTAATTTTACCAAGCATAATATATTAGATATTTTTAAATCAATTTTAAAATCTTTGACTTTCACATATTAAAATAGCAATAGGAAAAATTTATGTAAAACAGAGATTACTTTAAATTTTTAATAATATAATCAAGTTTTAATTAAGATTTATTTTTCCTTTTATAAACATAAATATGTATGTATTTATTTTAAAATTAAACAAAAAAAAGGATGTAATTTAGCATTATATAAATTTGTGAAATTTGAGAAAAATAAAAATATAAATAATAAATTGAATGAAAGCCATAAGTTATACACATATATATATATATATCTACATACATTTGTGTAATTTTTATTAAGTCAGCAATAATGTATATATATTTACACATGAGGCAAAATAATAGGAAAAGGTTTCTATTATATCAAACTTAAAAAAAGAACTTGTTTAACCTCGTTTTAATTTAGTTTTTTTTTTTTTTGTTTCATTTATGTAAATTATTAACTACTGAAAAATAAGACTCAATCGAATTAAGTTTTTGAATTATTAGCATTTAAGTTTAGTTATTAAAGAACCAAAGAAAGTTCAAAAATTTATGTTTTAAATGTTGTAATTTTTTTAAAAAAAAGAATAACCAGAAAATTTAGAAGAAATTTAAAAAATTTAAATTTATTTATTTGCACATGCATATTTACATTCTTAAGTACGTAAATAAAAACAAAAACATAATTTCATGCATAATATTTTTCATAAATATTTCTTTTAATAAAATTTGAATCCGATTTAAGGTTTACTGGGGGAAAAACTATGTAATGTTTCAACTTCAGGGTATGCTCTAATAAATAATAAAACAATTTCATCACATTAATCTTTAAATAACATTTTTATTGTACATTAAATTTAATATTTTCCATGTCTTAGTTTCCTTTCAAGTTTTGGTAGATTTTTAATGTATCCAATTTATTTATTAATGTTAACATTTGCCTCCAAATAAAGATTATTGTTAAAATATAAAATGATGAAAAAAAAAAGAAAACAAATTTATAATTTATAATTGTGATGTTGTGAAAATAGAACTTAAGAAGAAACCAGTAGGAATAATTAATAATTTTTATTTTTAAAAAAATTTACATGGCGAAAATACATAATAATTTTATAATAATTATTGGAAATATTATATTGATTCTATAAATTAGCATTATTATAATAATTTACAATAAACAAAAAATTTACTTTTAACAAATAATTAAAGAAAAATTGAACAATTAATTGAAAACAAAATTCTTAAAATTCATTGCTTTTACATACATAAATTCGTTGCACAAAAATTTAAAATTTTTATTGAAAATTAAACATTAACGTTGTAACCATAAATTTTGTGGTAAAACAAAAGATATTATAAAATTTTTACTAATCTAAAAGTTTTAAACTAAAATGACCAAAAAAAGAAAATAAATAATTAAAATAAAATGCAATTTGTTGCAAATATTTTTCTTAGGTTTAATAATTATGTAGAAATTTAATAATTTCGTTTTTTTTTTATATAGCTATGTATTTTAGAGCATTTTTTTCGAGTACATACATTGAAAATAATTTTAAATGTATTGTAAACAACAAAAGTAAAGAAAAAAATTTTTAAATATGAAAGAGAAAATATACACAATAAATCGATAAAATTAATAACAAAAATATATTGTAGCTTATCATTTTTGATTTTATTTTATGATCAGTTTATTAAAACCACTCATTTTTTGATAAGAATATAGGTTATAATATAAAAAGAAGTTATAATATGTTTAGATGCAAGTGGTAAGTATATATTTGCATTGATTTTAAGAAAATTAGTTCGTGAAATAGAGGGGATCAAAATAAAATTTTCTCTGATCATCGAATTCATCGGAGAAATTTATTAAACATCTTAAATAATATTTAAAATTAGTGCTTTAAATTTAAGTTTTGTAAAATTTTCTTTAATAAATTGTTTTTTTGACTTCTTTTTAGGACTTACCTCTTAGATTTCTTCAAAAATTTTTATTCAAAACTTCTAAACTATGATTTTAAGTATAAAGGTTTTTTTAATTGCATTTTTATTGTATAACACTTATTATAATTAATAAAATTAGAACTTGTAGTATTAAAAATTAATGCTCCTAAGGCGTTTAATTTTAATAATGATATGAAAATTAATAATAAAATTGATTTAAGGCATAAATATGGAAAGAGCATTAATGAATAAAAGTTTCGTTCAATTACAATTTTAATTTTCTTTTGTTTTTATTAAAATACTTCAATCTATTTTCCTTCGCCTATTTTACTTTTTATTTACTTCAAGAAATTTTTAGCATATTTTTTGCTTCAGAAGTTTTTGAACAATTTTTACTTTAAGTAAAGTTAAAAGTTAAATGCTTTATTCTAACCTCAAGAGTAGCTTTTGAGAAAATGTAAATAGAAATTTTGATAGAAAATAGTACTAAAATGTATGTAATGTTGTTAAAATCGTTGTAGAATTTTCGTGTTGGTCAAGTTTTTGCACAAATTCCAAATTTTAATTTTAGCAATTGCAATTTTATTTCGTCAGAGTTTGGACAGCTAAAATAATAATGAATTTTTTGTTGATATTTAAATTGAAAATTATTTTTATGAAACTAGATACTTATGGTTGTTATGAATTATGAATAAAAGAAATTGTTGAATACATTGAAAAAATTTAATGAAATTAGACCAATTTTTTAAGACAGTAGAAAAAAGTTATTGTTTCAGTTTAACTTTAACATAGTAATAATAACATAATAATGCTGAAGTTTTATTATGATATAATACTTGAAAAAATTATTCAAATAAATATATTTTATTCTTATTATGTTGGATATTGGATATTTTTCTATGTTAAGTCTAAAAATAAATTTGTTATAACAGAAAATAGGAAATTTCTATCGAAATATCACAGAATAATTTTACTTTTGATATCACCATATATTTGTTATAGGCTTTGTATATATGGTGCTGTCGAATCAGATTTATATTTAAATTTAAGTTCGATTATTTCAAACATTTTAACTCCATTAAAATTAATAGGTGATTATTATACAATACATAAATACTCGGGAAATATTTTAAGAATACTAAATCAATTAGTACAACTTTACAAAAATATTCCATTAAATATTAGATATTCAATTACTACACCCATATTTTTAATTTTAATTGCAATTTTTTTTAATTTGGGTTGTTCAGTAGTCTCATATAGTATTGATTTTATTGTATATTGTGAAAACTATACAGATTTTTTGGAAATTTTTATTGCTGGATATTTATTGTCTAGTATTCAGTGGACAACAAGTATATTCTTAATAATATCAGTTTTAATTTCTATTGTAAATACACTTTGGTTTGAAATTTTACTTAAAAAATTTTCTGAAGAAAACACTATAGAAAAATCAGAACTTAGAAAATTTACAAAAATATTTTTAAAAATAAATAAAATTGTAAAAAATTTCAAAATTATATCAGAATTAAAAGTATTTTTATCGTTATTTGATGTATATATAATGTTAACTACTGATTTATATTATTGTTATATGAGAAATGTATATCCATCTGAAATAGATCCAGTTACATTAAATGTTTTCATACTACCGGTTTTTGATATTCTTGGACTCGTAATTTTAACAAATATAATTACAATGATGGAGATTAAATTAATAACATTTGATAAATTTGAATTATTTTATACCATCGACTGCAACGATGTGAGCAGGTCTGAAAATGTAAGTTCAAGATTTTATAATAAACTAAAAAACAAAATTAAAAAATAATTAATAAACTGTGTATATTGTTATATTTAACCCTAACCCCTAAAGGCAGACCCCTAAAGGAACAGCGCCAGAAAGGGTCTTCGAACAAACATTTTACATAGTTTTCTGTTTTATAATGGTATTGTACATTGACTTTTCTTTTGCAAAATTTTACATTAAAAAATTTTCATAAAAAATTTTAAACAGCTTCAAATTTTTTCTTGTTAACTTGAAAGAAGGTATGCAGAATTTGAAATTCTGTACGAATAGTTTTTGCCAGACGCATTTTTTCGATCATAAGTCAGCTGCGTTTAAGAATATGTACTTACATAATTATTATAAATTCTTAACCGATATTGTTATTTTTATATCGTGATTTATCGTGATACTGATATCTGGGGTAATTTTTTGACCCGAAAATAACATTTCTCAAATTTGGATTTTACTTCCAATTCCGCGTCATCACAGTATACTCGCATCATTATCTTTTTCGCTTAATATTCGTGATATTTTTTTCAAATTTGTACAAACACGGTTGCTATTTGGGGGCAAATTCGAGCCCCAGCTAATAATTATAACTAAAAATTCCAAAATTTTTAGTTTATTGGCGCATTCTTAATTATAATCTAATTGAATATAAATAAGAAAAAAATGTTTAATTTTAAAATTATTAAACAAACAATTATTAAGAGGGTCATGTTCAATAAAAGGTAATACAGGCATACCTCGTTTAACGATCATGATGCGTTCCTAAAAGTTGAGCGTTAACAGAAACAGCGTTAAAAGGGGCTCCTTTTACACTAAAATATAGGGTTACGTTACTACCAACTTTTTTTGGTACTTTTTCGAGCCAAAAATCTCGTATTGTGAAATAAAAAAAAATTTTTTTTTTTTAATGTGACAATATAAAATATTTACATTTGGTGATTCCAAGAGATATAATAATTTTTCAAAATTTTTTTTTTCAAAAGAGCGTTATAACGAAACAGCATTAAAAGAGGTAGCGTTAAACGAGGTATGCCTGTATGCGTTTTTATGCGTTTCATACAATTTTCATTTCCATTGACTAAACACTTATAATTTACTAATTTGTTGTTAATATTGACATAATAAATTGGTATCGTTTTAATTTTAATAAATTTTCTGATGAAGGAAATATTTTTATATTATGTAAATGTATATATGTGATTGAAGTTGAAAGAATATTCGATTGAAATATGGGGTTATGTTTTGGAGTTATGCTTTCTTCATAATGGAAATTAAAATAATTTAGTTGTTAGAGTAATAAATTCGTTATTGTGAATATAAATAAATTTAAACATGTTTCTTAGACTAATATTGTCAGCCTTTATAAAACGTACTTAAAATAATTTCAATAAAACTTTAATTCGTTCAGTGTTTAAACTGTTTTAATAAAAAAAAATTTTATTGTAGAATGAAAAGGCATTTTGTAATTTTTATAAAAATTGTTTTCCAATTATATAATTTTTATTCATATTGTATTGGATATTTT